AAATGTGTAGTAGTTAGCATCATAACATGTAATTAAATAAAAACCATAAAAACTTTAAGGAAAATTAGGTATTAGACATAATTAACTTTATTAATTAGTATTTGAGACATTGGGTATTTTAGTTTGGGTTTTAATACCTATAAAAGAATTGTTATTTTGGATTAAGCCAAAGAGGAGGCTCAGATTCGTTGGCCCACCTTATATTAATCACTGAAAAGACAATTATATCCTTTTTATTAAAATATTTATTGGTCTCCTTTTTTTTATCAGATTAGATCTCTCTCTCTCTCTCTCTCTCTCTCTCTCTCTCTCCGCAGCAACGACGACCACAGCCTTCAATTGCGGCTGCGATGGAATTCTCAAGTTGCTCATCCCTTCGGCCTTCGCCGGTAACTCCAAGGTCGTGGTGGGACTGGTTGAGCCTCATGTGGTCCCGGATTTTCTCAGAGATTTGGAGTCCAAGCGTTGGGTTCCAGTTAGGGTTAATGCGTACGAGACGCGGTGGGCCGGACCGGGGTGCGCTAAGCAAGTGGTGGAGAGGATTGAGGAGGGAGCGTTGGATGCGATGGTGTTCACGAGCAATGCAGAGGTGGAGGGCTTACTGAAGAGCTTCAAGGAGTTTGATAGGATGTAATTACACAGAAAATAGCTTTTATCTTCGTTGAAATTATAGAATGTTTATTAGAATTTACTGGAAAATTTTGAGATTCTCAACTCTTGTGTATCAAATCCTTCGATTGAGGTATGATTCTCTAGTTATTTTCCACGATCTAGCTGTTAGTTGAGTAAGATTTCAGAAATTTTGAGGTTTAATTGGTTAATTTCAGAGTTATTTTCCATGAAAACGAAAACGAAACTGTGATGCAGAAAACCGTTTGATGATCGTTGGTGGTCTGGAGGTTTCTGGAGGTGAAGTTGAAGAGGTTTCTGGAAGTGAAGTTGATGTCGTTTTTCAGTTTTGATTTAAAACTAAATACTGAAAATGGCATATGTTGTAATTTTCATATTTTGTAATGGTATTTTTGTTACATTTTGGGGTTTGGCCTTTTGCTAATTAGACTAAATTGTATTTCTTTCTACTAAATTAGTAAACTATATTATGGTTTAAAACTAAAGCTCCCTTTTTGTTAAACATGTTATTAACCAAGAAAGGAGGGAGAAGGCGGTGAAAAGAAGAAGGGGGGAGCTTTATTACCTAAGAAAATACATAACCAATGGGGTTCTATCTCCCGGACCATACTAGGGAAGGAACTAGAAAATTTTCAATGGGAGGGCAGCGAGCTAGCTAAAGTTATTAGCTTAAAATCTAATGATATTTTTTTGTTTTTGTATTTACAACGTCTATAGTCTTTCTATAATCTTTTTTTTACTTAAATTAAATAACATGAATCATGCAAGTTCATAACACATTTTACTAATTTCCAAGAAGCTTTAACATTTAATAAATAAATATTAGATGCAATCAAAAAGCACATTAACAAAATAAAAATTTGTTCAACAACAAAATTGAAATTGTACCTATTCATGTTGTGCCCTATGATTCTTGAGAGAATTGAAATATTTTGTTATTGCATATGAAAATGTAGAGAGTTAAAGTCGTGAATGTTTACTAAGGGATTATGTCTCTTAATTGAGCAAACAAATTAATCTAATGAGATGATTATAGGCCTACAAAGTTAAGTGGACTATGAATTACTAGGTTATATTTGGTGGACTAATAAGTTTTTATGGGCTAAATCACATTATTAATTCCACTAGAGAATGCCCTTTTACTTATCACAATAGGAGAATCACGTTAGAGAAGTTGTTGTAACCCTACATGTTCACATATGAGACTAGAATTCGAAGTATTGATTAAGTTGATTCATAAACTGAATATGCAGTTCAGATTCACTCAAAAATCGGAAATACTATTGGAGTTTGTGGGTTGTAAATTTTCATGGAAACCATTATCGGTCCTCAAAAGTAGGCCTCGTCAATGGGTGAAGTCGGGCTACCCCGGCCCAAATTTAATAAGCTTGGGCTGGGTCGGGGCGATCTTCAAAGAAGAGAGAGAAAATAACAGGCCAGGCCAGTCCGAGTTTTTTTTAGAAAATTCAAAGCCCAAGCCCATCTCATGAGCTGGACTTGAAAAAGCCCATCATGCGGGGCCGGGTTAAGCCCAACGGGCTGTGCCTAAATGGGCGTACTTTATTTTGTCTTTTTTTTTTATATGGATTTTTTTTGTCAATTCTTTATTAATTTGTTCTATGTTTTGGTGTGTTTCTATGTTTCCATTTTTTTCATAGTTCTCTATTTACATTTGTCTATATGTTTTTGTCTCCATTTTTTTCTTTGTTCATAACTTCATAATTCTTTTTTTTTCCCCCATAAATATAAAGATATAGTTATACAACCGCCATATTAATAAACTCATATTTTATCCAATACTTTATTTTTTAAAAAAATTCTTACAATGATGATAGATAATGATTTTCTCCGTCTTTCATTTAACTTGAGTTTATATATATATTTATATGTATGTGAGCCCGTGAGCTGGGCTTTTATAAGTGAGTCGGGCCGGGCTTTCTTGAGTTCAAATGGGCCGGGCTGGACTTTAGACACCTCAGCCCAAATTCAGCCCACTCAATAATGGGCCAGACCGGCCCATGGCCCATAACGAATCAGACCGGGCTTTTTCTCGATGGGCCGGACGGGCCCCATCGACCCATGGGATCGCGAACCTAATGATGACCCCTACTCAAAAGTATGCTCATTCACTTAACACGTTTGTGCCTTCAATTATCTGTCGTTGAAATTTCCTTTCAAATGATAAGAAACAAGTTAACCCCGCTCAGATAAAGTAAACAGCTTTTTCTTCTGATAATCACTGCATAGAGCCAAATAAATCTGGAAACGTCAATTGACCCCAAAAAATAAAAATCTAGAAACGTCAAATTCCTTTCTAGTCCCTTTAACAACCAAATTGCGTCCTCTACTAGGGCCACACTCTGTCTGACAGGTCAGGAATATGAGCATATGCGGGCCTTCATTGAAGTGGAAACCCTAATCAGCCCTCGACCCTACTCGACTTCTATTATTGTTTTGATAATACGTGATTTTTAATTCAATATTTTCTTTAAAATATCAAAACAAACTCGCTTTGAAGAATCTCGTGTGAAGCACATGCAATATCTTTTAAACGAAGAAATAAATGAAATTCGTCATAAATGTCTCAATATTATAACAAAATTTTAATTGAAATAACATATTGCCTCAATTTTCTTTCTCAAGTGGCACTTATAATAATGCCTAAAATGAGTCTAAATAGTCTTATTATACGAGAATATGAAATCAAAATCCTTTATCAAATTGTTCACACTGAATCTGAAAGTCGTACGTATAATTATTGTGATTGGTAAGTTTTATATTTCCAAGCTTCCAAGCTTTCAAGCTTCCAAGCTTCTCTCTTCTCGACCAAACAAGGGAGGGGATGCTGTTGGAAGACGAGTTCTAGTGGTCCAATCTCTTGCAGCAAGAAACACTACTCATCTCCCCCTGATTTCTTGTTCCCTTTCAAAGCTGCAAGTTACCACAGCCGTCGGACAATATCCAAGGGACCACTTTGGGCCAAAAACCTTAAAGATTACGAACCTGGAGGCTGAGCCTGAACCAGTAGAGTTATTGGGTGGTTGTGGGGAGGGGATGCTGGGTGGTTGGGGAAGAGCTGCCAGCTTAGACTGAAATGCCCCTTAATAAGTAACATAAATCGGATATTTTCTTTGAATTGCTTCGAATTAAAAACCACTTGGACCGAAATGACACGCGCTATGTGTTACTTATTTGCCTTTGATCGTAATGTACTTAATTCTATATAATTGTTTGCTGCAACTTTCAACTTACTATATAAAATCTGAATTCAGAAAAACGAGAGCTCAAGAAAAACGAGTGAGTACAAAAATGTGTAACTTTCAATATTGTTTGACGTGGCACATTTAATATTGTTTTGATTGAGTCTACTAACCATTGATTGAAATGTCCACTTTATAAATAAATAAAAATTAAAAACCCGTTATTCAATTGTGCTTTGCATCCAATGATCTCACAATTTTTGGGAGCATTTTTACTCACCATGTTAATTAAATATATATATTCATTATCTTTCTCAACATTTAACACATGTCCATAAGTTTAACTATGATTATATAAATTAAAGTAAAAAATTAACTATGATTATGTTATGGACACGTGTCAAGTATTTAAGAAGTGTAGTGTGCATGCATCTTAAGTTAAAAGTGATGAGGAAAAATATTTCCGAAATTTTCGAGGAAATTCAGAAGAAATGAAGGTGATTTTCCAGGCTAGTCAATGGTCAAGTCCTTCAAACTTTTCCCCACCACCAACTCAGAAAATACTTTTCCCTTTTTTCATCCTCTTGTTTTGCTTTTGGTGGGTTTCCTACTAATTTCACCAAGACTAAAGGGGTCTTTCTTTTCTTTGTTTTAAACTAAACATATTGATCTTTGACCAAGTTTAGTCCTCTGCAAAATGCCCTTTATTTTCAAGTAAATTTCATTCAAATTATCAAGCTGGCCATAAAACAACCACTAACGACTAGTTTAGCTATCAATATTATTTTGATTCAACGCACAAGGCCACCATCAAATTCTATTTTTGGGTGAATAAATACTCAACCACAACCACCCGAGTTCCAAGCTTCACACGAAAGTGGTTAACTTTGCCGTATGAAAAGGGTAAGCATTGACTAACGGGTCTTTCTTTAATACAAAGACCAAAGATGCATAAGGACAACATGGTCAATTTATAATTGAACTAAAGCAATGAATCAAGTTGGTATAATCGGAAAATTCTACTATCAAACACTGTTTTATGTTAAAATATTCCAAGTGGGTCGACTCTTGCCCTGACTTTTTTCAATTATAAATTCCCCCTCCCCTCACCTCAAAACACACATCAAACACTTCACCACACCAACCCACTACACGAGAAGTTCCACAATAATGGAATCCACTTCTTGGGTTGCATACGCTGCCGCATGGCTAGGAGCACTCGCTCTCATCCTCCTCTCCCGCCACCTCCGCCACCGCAAGCTCAATTTGCCGCCAGGTCCAAAACCCTGGCCCATAATTGGAAACCTCAACCTCATAAGCCAACTTCCCCACCGGTCTATCCATGCACTCGCCCAAAAATATGGGCCCATCATGTACCTCAAGTTTGGGTCGCACCCGGTCGTCGTGGGCTCTTCGGTTGAAATGGCTAAGGCGTTTCTGAAAACCCACGACGTTACCTTTGCCGGACGACCCAAATTCGCAGCCGGTAAGCACACCACATACAACTACTCGGACATTACTTGGTCCCCTTACGGCCCATATTGGCGCCAGGCCCGTAAAATGTGCATAATGGAGCTTTTCAGTGCCAAACGCCTAGAGTCGTATGAATATATCAGAAAGGAGGAAATGAACGCATTGCTCAGAGGCTTATTTGAGTCCTCCAACACAAACATTTTGCTGAAAGATCACCTTTCAACTGTGAGTCTTAATGTTATAAGCCGCATGGTGCTCGGAAAGAAGTACACGGACGAGTCGGAAGACTCGATCGTGAGCCCCGATGAGTTCAAGAAGATGTTGGATGAGCTCTTCTTGCTGAGCGGGGTGTTGAATATTGGTGACTCAATACCGTGGCTTGATTTCTTGGACTTGCAAGGGTACATAAAGAGAATGAAGGCTTTGAGCAAGAAGTTGGATAGGTTCTTGGAGCATGTGTTGGATGAACATATTGCAAAGAGGAAGGCAGATGGTGAAGACTTTGTTGCAAAAGATATGGTTGATGTGCTTCTGCAACTTGCTGATGATCCTGACCTTGAAGTTAAGCTTGAAAGACATGGGGTCAAGGCCTTTACCCAGGTATGATTAATTCTTTTATGCAATAATGATAGAAGCAGTAAAATTTTCCAAAACTCTAGTTGATGTTACATGTCATTTTTAGTGTCTCATGTGTTAGGATGAATTTTAGGCTTTGTCCTCTACGCTTGAGTCAATGACAGCGAGCCGTTGATTTGTGTGAGTCTTATATGCGTTAACGGCTGACAGTTACACGCTTATTTGGGATTGAAAACTTTATGGTTTACTTTGGTTTTACTTATCTTACTCAAGCTTTTGTTGATTGATGGATTCTATTAGGACCTAATGGTTTACTTTGGTTTTACTTATCTTACTCAAGCTTTTGTTGATTGATGGATTCTATTAGGACCTAATCGCCGGTGGAACGGAGAGCTCAGCAGTGACCGTCGAATGGGCAATTTCAGAGCTGCTAAAGAAGCCGGAGTTTTTCAAGAAGGCAACAGAGGAGCTAGACAGGGTGATTGGAAGGGAGAGATGGGTTGAAGAGAAGGACATTGTCAACTTACCCTATGTTGATGCCATTGCCAAGGAAACCATGAGGCTGCACCCAGTGGCGCCCATGTTGGTGCCAAGACTATCCCGAGAAGACTGCCAAGTTGCTGGCTATGACATCCCCAAGGACACCAGAATCCTAGTAAGTGTCTGGGCCATAGGAAGAGACCCTCAACTTTGGGACAACCCAGAAGAGTTTTGCCCTGATAGGTTCCTTGGCAAGGACATTGATGTCAAAGGCCAGGACTTTGAGCTTCTCCCATTTGGGTCAGGCAGGAGGATGTGCCCTGGCTACAGCCTTGGCATCAAGGTGATCCAGGCAAGCCTGGCCAATCTCCTACATGGGTTTACATGGAGATTGCCTGACAACTTGAAGGAGGAGGATTTGAACATGGAGGAAATTTTTGGGCTTTCAACTCCAAAGAAGTTTCCTCTTGTTGCAGTCTGTGAACCTCGTCTTCCACCTCATGTTTACTCACTCTGATTTTTATCTTAGTTTCAGTTACTTCTCTTCTTCCCTCTGAATAATTACTATTGGGATGCTAAGTTTTACTACCAAAAAAATTAGCACTATTGTAAGATTATGATGTGTGTGATCAAAATCCAGAGGCTCTTATTGTAATTTCCTGTTCTTTCCACTTTTCTCCTCCTCCGTGGACATGGTAAATTTTACATCTTTACTTCTCTGCTTCAAACCAATTGCCATGAACAAACTAACCAACCAACAAAACTTGAATGAAACGTGGATTTGTTTTGCTATTACCGGCCAATCACAAAATACCGTATGAAAAAGTTATCACGCATGACATAGCGTGATTGACCAAAAATAGCAATTTCATGTAAGTATTTCCACAACTAGACATCTACCGTGATTTGCCAAGAATAACAATTTCATGTAAGTGTTTCCACAACCAAACATCTAAACCACACATTTGATGGGTGAGTTCCACTTGCTGACAGACTAGAGTGCTAGCTGCCTCAGAATCCACTGGTATAAATTAAATTGAGGAATGCTATTCACAATCGCTCAAAAGCGATTCTCACAGCACTTGCTAGACACGTGTACCCGTTCCCATCCTTTCTTTTTTTTAATTGTTTTTTCTCTTTCTTCTCTCGGTTGCCTCCCTCTCTCTCTTATTCTATTATTTTTTTCTCTTCCTTCTCTCCATTTCCTCTTCCCTTCCGTGCTCTCTGGCCTGCACAGCCCTTTTGTTTCTATTTTTCTGGTCTGAAACCTCAGCACTCCCCTCCATTTTTAATCTCAAGTCTTAAGTCTCTCTCTCAAAAGCTGAACTGCAGTTGCAGTAAATACAAGTATAATAAACATATCTCAATCCTAGAGAAGAGATCACTTGATTAAATAAATGTGACAACAACTTGCCTTAAATTTTTTACACTAAAAGCCAACTTTGTAAAGGTTAGTGTACTTGCAAAACTTATATTGTCACCTCCATACACGACTTTTGAGAATCTGAGCATGGTAATAAGATAACCATGGTTGTCAACTAACACAGTGCTATTACCCAAAAGACCAAGTCATGCATATGATGCATTTCAAAGTCATATCAACATCCCACTTTTTGCATTATTACCTAACACCAGTTTGTAAGGATGTGCCCATGAGCTACTTCCCACGCTTCTATACTTCTCACGTTTATGCTGCCCCACTCCATTGATACGGACTTGGTACTAACCCTAAATTATGCTTGTAAGAATATTTTATAAATAGGTTATTTTGTGTGGCTTACATGAAGTGTCCTATGTGGTAGATAAATTGTTTAATTGATTCAGAATAATTATATTGGTCAAATAAGGATAAATAGTTTCCTATTTTATTACTGTGATTTAAGTCTAATTGAATTTCCGCCTAATGCTATTGTGAAAATCATGAAGTTCAAGATGTCAAATCAGGATTTGGTACCAATTGATTAAAGTCATGACATGAGTATATCTTGTTCATACAAAACCAGCTTTTAAAGAACAAAGTGACAACCCTTAAATCATCCCAAATTATGCTATTTTTCCAACGTAAGATATAGTAAGGGCCTATCTAAGGCCCTATATCTTAACCGTTGGATCAAATTAATTAGTTTGATCCAACGATTAAAGGATAATACCTCATAAAGGGCCCTACTAAAGAATGACTCATCGAACAAATTCCAGGCATAAATCAACACTTTACAAATTAACAAAACCCAAAATGGAACCCAATGCTCATCACAATTAGAAGCCAACATATAGTTGGTAGGCCCATGATATACATTGGGCCAGCCCATACATGATATGTCGTAACTTAAAAGAGGGGGCCTAGTGCCGGCGCACAAACGAGAGTAAAACGACATACCGGGAATGAGATCAAGCATTGTGAGAAAGCCGTTAAGTCTAACGGCGACACTACTCCGCCGATACCTTTTCTCAAGTCCGCCGTCGTTTCCATCTTCGCGCTTCTCTTCCTCTTCAGCTCCGATAGGCTCCTCCGCCGCGGACAGCTCGGAGGCGACTCAGTGCAGCGGGTTGACTCGGTTGGCCTCGCTGGTGGAGGGCTGCGACTACGAGCACTGGCTCGTGGTTATGGAGCCTCCTAAGGGCTACCCTCTTCGCGATGAGATCATCAATGGCTACATCCAAACCCTAGCCACGGCCCTCGGAAGGTAAAAACTGAAAAAACGCCATCAGGGTTAGCGTTTTAAGTTGCAAAGTTTGAAACTTGAATTAGTGTTAATTATTTTTAGCTTGAAGTGTTTGAAATGTAGCAGTTATTTTTTTTGAATTTTGTTTTTTCAACTAGTTTGTTGTATAATTGCAGTGCAGAGAAGGCAAAGAAGTCAATTTACTCTGTTTCTACAAAGTACTACTACGCATTTGGCTGCAAAGTCCCAGAGAATTTGACTTTTAAGATCAAATGTAAATTCTTCAAAACTCTTCTATTCTATTATTATTATTATTATTTGAAGTTTTTAATTTGGTTGCAGCTCTGGCCAATGTGAAATGGGTTCTACCAGATTCTTACTTGAGTCATGGTGAAAATGACTATGGAGGTATTTTGTTTTTCTTGGTTTATCTTCTTTTCTTCATGTTGAGCTAGATTTTTTTAATATCTAAAGTGGAAGCTACATGATTCATGAACAATGATGTTTTTAAGAGATAAGAAGAGAACATTGAAAAATATGGATTTTGAAAGATTATTGCAAATAAATCCCAAGTCATAACTCATCAAGTAGAATTAGAATGTAAGCCCTACTCGTCATAATACCATGTAGACACTCATCTAAGTAATCTCAAGCCACAATGACTTGGTTCATTTCAGTAGGAAAATGAAGTTTGATTCTTGTTTCCAAAGAAGAGAAAATTCCATAGGTGATCCGTCGTTGTCTATGCTCAAAATGCATTGGTTTTGGACAGGAGAACCTTTGGTTGATGGCATTGTTACTCCATATGATGAAAAATATCATGCAGACTGGGTGCTCGACGAAAATCACACAACAGTTAAGTCTTGATCACTCTTATACCCCTGAATTTTTACCCTCAACTAGTTAGTTTCGATCCGGATGCTCAAGTTTCACCTCCTGGAGATTTAAGCAGCAAGACATTACAATGTGAAGCAGTTGTGTTGCATCAACCTGAATGTCATAGAGTGGAGGAAAAAGAGCTTCATCTTTGGTAATATATGAAGAGATGTAGCAGATATAGACTTGTTTTAGAAACTTAATTGTTTCTTTGGCTCCAATATTTACATTATCACATAGTTTTATCTTCGAGCTAAACCTAGTTTTTGCCTTTTCCCACTCAAAATTTGGTTAAAAGTTGCATTGCATTTATGTATCCCAAGTCCTTATCAAACCATACTTGGTTTGAATTGGGGATGCATGATCCTTTCTGCAAATCCTTGAATTGGAGGGGACCCACTTTTTGTTATAGTCGTAGGCAATAGCAAATTCTTTAGTTACACCAGCACGTAACTTGTGATTTAGGCCAACTTGGGATTTGGGTGGAGTTTGGTGCAAGTGTTGAAATATGAGGCTGGCCCTGAAGAATTCTAGTCTATCTCCATAGATTTTGTAAGACTAATAAAAATATGCCCTCCGAAATCTGCTGGGTGGGTTGTTCAAACCTTTGATTGGTGCACCATGCCGTTTGAGCTGATTTTGAACACAAAACAAAGGAAGAAATATTCATGGAAATTGACTTGGAATATTGAATACATTATTTGCCCTCGAGAACCTAATGGAAGATTAGAATAGTATAGGGTTTGATCAATCCACCAACATGAGCCCTTAAATAATTTAAACAAGATCATCTTTTATTCTTTCTATGACTTCATAGTTTGAAATAAACATTTTTTCCATTTAAAGGAAAACTCATTTTAAATATGAAAGCTGAAACTGTTTTTATGGGAAAGCATAGAAAATTGAAAACAGAGTGTTCTGAGAAAGAGTGAGTTGTCTCAAAGTACTTGTATTTCTTGTAATGATGTAAGAGAAGCTACAAAAACTCTGAATCCAAAGACCCCACATGAAAGTCATACACAAGGGAAGATCTCCATCAGAGAGAAACAAATAAAACAACCATAATACACATATATGCTTATAGTTTTTCTTTTCTTCTTCTGTGTTTGTTTTCCTAATTGTCTCGAGTGCTTATTTGGGAGAGTATAAACCGGTTCCAAGAATTCTATACAGAGCTGTATCAGAATAAACAGTGCTAGACCTCAATGACTTAATCCGATTTCTATACCGATGACCTTTTCGGCTCCTGTGGCGCCCCTTCGCTTTCACTTCCACCTCTTTTTCCTCACCATTTTTCCCATTTTTCACCACTTCACACTCAGCTTGACCCTCTCTTTCAATCCTATACGCAGGAACTTTATTTTTTTCCTCAGTTGGAACAACGTACACAAAGGGTCCAATTGGAATGTCATTCAAGTCCATCAGAGGCTCTAAGGTCTTGACCACAGTGCTCATTGTTGGTCTACACTTTGGGTTATGGCTAAGGCACTGATGAGCCAATGCAGCTGCTTTCCTAGCACCTTCGGTTGAGTACTGACCCTCGAGTCCCGGGTCCATCACACGGTCAAGTTTATGTGAATCCTTCAAAAATGGTTTAGACCACTCCACCAGGTTCTGTTCTCTACCATGGCGGCTCTCATCCACGGACCTTCTACCTGTTAGTAGCTCCAAAAGAACTACACCGAAGCTATAGACATCGCTCATAGTCGTTAAATGACCTGGAAAAAAAGAGAGTACATGATTAGTTAGCTGTGGAAATTTTCAAGGCCACTGATGAAAAGAAGGAATGAAAGTAGTAGCTTAAAATCAACTTGCATTACCTGTCTTGACATATTCTGGAGCTGCATAGCCATGAGTGCCCATGACACATGTTGTAATGTGTGTTTCATCTCCTTCCGGGCCATCTATGGCTAGACCGAAATCAGAGAGCTTGGCTGTGTAATCCTGGGGAGAAAAAGAGAGATATTAGTACTCAATTTTTTCTGGAACTTCTTTCGTTTTGTATGAGCCATATTTATATGCTTGTATTAAGCGCAGAAGAGAGCTAAGGAGAGAAAAATTACAGAGTCTAGTAAGATGTTTGAAGCCTTAAAATCTCGATATATGACTTGCTTTTCTTCTTCATGGAGGCTGCTGAGGCCTTTTGCAGCTCCAATTGCTATTTTTATTCTTGTTAACCAAGGCAGGGTTCCACCATAACCTGCATTAATGAACAAACATAAAAATTCATAAGTTCTGTCATCCTGCTAATAAAATTGTGAACTCCCAAATCAATATTTTTCTGATTGTTTCAGAACAAAATTCCTGCATGCATGATCTTAATTATTTGCAGTTAAATGTTAGCAGATGGTATATTTACATTTGAATAGTCGATTTTCTAGGTTGCCCCTCTCCATGTACTCATACACAAGAAGCCTATGTTCATCTTCGCAGCAGTAGCCGATCAAGTTAACAAGATTGGGGTGCTTCAATTGCCCAAGAAAAATCACTTCAGCCTACAAATACAGAAGTGTTTGAGAATTAGCATTTTTATAACTTAGGAAGCATATGATATTGTTAGCAACATAAACTTTGAAATGGGCTAAAAAAAAAGGCAAGAACAAAAACAAAAAGCTTACCAGCCACTCCCTATGTCCTTGTTTGCCATCTAAATCCAACACCTTAACAGCCACAGGTTGAGCTTCCAACCCGGGCCTAAGCTTTTCATCAATGAACCCTTTGTATACCTTCCCAAACCCACCTTCACCAAGATAGTTGCTCTTAGAGAAGTTGTGGGTAATCTTTTTGAGTTCCTTCTGTGTAAAGATATGAAGCACCTTCACCAAGATAGTTGCTCTTAGAGAAGTTGTGGGTAATCTTTTTGAGTTCCTTCTGTGTAAAGATATGAAGGTTTGATCCAATAAGTGAATTTGACAGATCACTGAGGACAGTGCAGATTGATGAATTACTCACATCGGAGAGTGACAATCTCCGCGAAGAGATTTCTTTCGACGTCTGGGATTTTTGATCTGAGATTGGTTTGTTGGTCTTGAAACAACCTGGTGTCAATAATTTGAGTGCCAGTTTTCTGAGACTCATATTTTACTGAGGCTATATGGTCTCAGAGGCTCGGGTGAGTTAAAAGAAGCCTTATCTGTGTGTCCAAAACATATGGTTGGATTAAATTAGAGAAAGATATGGGGGAATAGCTAAATATATAAGGTATATTCCACAAGACTCTGCAAAAAGAAGTCAATGATCCAATGATGATCATAAGTTAACCAACCATATTCTTCTTTTCCATTTTGGCTGATCTTCATGTCTTACACAATAAAATATATGATTCTTGAAACCATTTTATTTCATTTTCAGTCCTCAGTCTAAAGTAGTGTATAAAGTTTGGTCCCTTCAAGACTTGGAAGATTCACAGCAGAAGAAGAAGAAAAAGACACTTTTGGATGGTTTCATATTGTGAAAGACCAGGTCTCTAGAGCCTTTTTTTTTTTTTTTTTATTGATCATCTGCCAGATTAATTAATGGAGTTTAGGTTCAAGTGTATTGTTTGTTGGTCTTTGTGAGACCTCTGAGAATTGATTGGGAAACTATATATTTTTGTGGCAAGAATCATTCAAATGGGAAAACATACGTTCTCATTTCCTTGTACACTTCCAAGTCTATGGCTTTTTCCCCATGATTGCTGCAATTAGTGTTTTGGTAAAGCATACTCAAAATATTTGTTGTGCATGCACCGTAAATTTGCTACATGTATTTTATTCTAACAATGGTAACTTTTGTGATTTGGAAAGCAGAATCTCCCAATATCTGGTACTGTTTGTTCTAATTGTTTGCTCTTGGCTATAATAAACACAGCAATTAGATGACAGATTGAAACTTTAATAAATTAAAAAAACCAAATCCCAGAACCTGTTTGGTAACCTTTTCATTTTTTCTTTTTTATTATTATTAATTTTTCAGTTTTTCAGTTAGAGATAGAGATGAAATATGTGAGAGAAAGGGAGGGTTGAAGAAATGTGTACGGAATGCTATGTAAAACTAAAAATAATTTTAAGTTGTTTTCATTTTTCAAGTTTTTGTTTAATTCATTCTCTTTCATTTCTAACTCGTTTCTCTCTCACGCTCTTCATTTAACTTTTCCTCCATATATTTCCTCTCTATCTCTAACAAAGGAAAATGAAAACTAAAAACTAAAATCTAAAACGTTACCAAACCAGCCATTAGAATCCGGTAAAGACTAGGGTAACAGGAATTATTCAACCATGAACTTTAGGAAAAGCAAAATGGCCCCAACCCTAAATCATCTACCAATAGATGATAGACCTTTGTTGGTTACAACCAACATGATGAGTAAATCTGAACTTCAATTTTATCATTTGACGCAACCAAAAAGAAAAAGAAAGAAAGGCTCATAGTCATCCATTTATTGCTTTCCTTGGGCGACCGCTGTATGAAATTGAGACAGACTCAAAAAGTTACAGCCAGCTTAGGATAAAAAAGGAGGTCAACACATTTTGTAAGACCTACAATATTCTTTGCTTCAAGAGGTTGTAACCAAGAAAGTCAAGTAACTAATTATTTCCCTTCATCTTCCATGAAATTTCGTTTCAATCCTCTGTTTGTGTTTTCAAAGACAAAAAAATGAAAGTTCAAAAACTACATTTTTTAATAAAAACAAAAAACAAAAGAAAACAAAAGGGCTCTCTCTGCTTGTGTAGTATGGGTGACGAATTAAAGCTGACGTATTTTAATTAGATCAACCCCATTACTAGTTGATGATTTCTGGTTCTCATAAATTTAAAAATGGCAAAATAAAGCCAGTTGGGTATAGCTTAGTTGGTTGAGCTCTTACCCCTCCACTCATATGATATGGGCAGAGTTTCGAAACCCACAGGCCCCAATGAATATTTGTGTGTAAACCCCCCTCCCTCAATTACTTGTACTAAAAATAAAAACAAAGTTTAGGATATTTTCTGCTATAAAAAGAAAAAGTTTAGGATATTTTGTGACATGATTAGACGACACTAGTAGGAAAAATAGAGAAAATCGCAGATGGCTAAGTGATTTTTATTTTGCTTGTGTAGTGGGGGGCGCATGACATTTGACTCTTTTCCGTCTGTCAAGAAAAAGATGCTAGTTTTGCATGCTGCAATTGTACCAAACAGCAAGGAAACGTATTGCCCCCAATAAAGGTTGATACTTTGATGGAAAACTTGGCTATAATCGTCTATGGTCAACAGCAAGAACGTCAAGAACGATGCCTCCAATAGGGTTGCCGGAAACCTTGTTACAATCTCCCACAAGCCAACAAGAATTTCAAGTAACACCAGATGCCGGCTTCTGATAGTTGACAGAAAATGAAGCAGAAATTTTGCGATGCTGATGGTCACAAAACCCATCAGTGTAGGGGTGAAAATAGATTTAAAACAAAACCCACGGCCACATCAGACACTACAGTGTAATAGGAATGGCTCTACTTTGCTATCCTGGCCAATCGCAGTATGCCACGTATAGTCACTTTTCTACTTGGCATATCATGATTAGCCGGAAATAGCACATTTCACATAAGTTATTCTGCATTTTGGGCCCCCAAAGACATCTTGTACACTAGGCTGTTTTCTTAAACATAAGAGTAGATTTCCAGAATTGACGGTATACCACAAGTTATACGACATTCTGATAAACAAGGCGCATAAACTTGAAGAAAGCATTAGAGGGAGAGTCCCTCTCTTTTTTTTCCTTTTTTTAATTAT